CGTAAGTCGAAACGACTGGGAACTGTAGGTTTATTTCATAGGTTTTCAGATTCACCACACCGTACACATTATGGCATCGGTCCGCGTTTATTCGGATACATCTGTTGATAAACCTAAATTGACCACCGGACAGTTGATCGGACCGTTTTTCATTTCCTATATTTGTGACCTTGTTGCGGAAATCGCACCTTACGCATCTCAGCACTGGTCTTCAGGGTTGTGACTCGATTGGGTGGACAATGTGCTTGCGTTATACCGGTGACGTCCCGGGTTCGATCCCCAGTCCAGTCGGTAGATTTACACTGCTGATGAGTCGCAACTAGGTCGAAACAACATAGCTTTTCAGTTCACGCTTCATTTGCTCTTTAGGGGACAAAATTCACCGTAAAATACTTATTAATCATACACACTCAGGTTGATATTTTGATTGGAGAAGTCATGAACACCGGTTTGCTCTATGTATCCCGGATGTTTTCTGTTCATCCTAAGCGATCAGTAATATACGCTCAGAAGATAATGAAAGGTCAAGAAACAACGGTACTCACCAGACGCGCTTGCTGCCAAGGTTGTCCCAGAGTGCTGAGCTATTCATGCTGTCTACACAACTATAAATGGTAAATTTAGAGAGGACTGATGTCTCGGCTCAAAAGAAATCTGTTCCCCCTCTCATAGTCCTATCATGTCTTACCGTACAATAGTGTTCACTGAAATTGCAGGATGCACGTATGGGGATGCAACCAAATGATCCAGAATACATTATACAGAACGATATTCTTGGTTCCACTGTTTAAGTTCATTACGGAGAACTGCACTTTCAACCACGTGATATTCTGTGCTAAACTGCAGCTTTGGACTTGAGTTTAATTCCACAGCTTACTTGTCACCCTGCATACAGAAACACTGAGAAACACCGGAAATGTCAACTGAATTTTTCCCCTTTCTTTATGTCTCATCTTGTTAAGCTTTAGTTGCTTTTCGTCACACCTACACTGTGTCATAATTGTACCGAAAACACATGTATCTTATACCAGTCCGTTTCAGATAAGCACTGCTTTTGTGGAATCACACAAATTCCGCTCACCTTCGTTTCAGCTAGTAGCATAGACTATCCGGATATGGCCGCGAAAGACAAAGAGTTTGAAGAAGCCCAACGAAGACGTAAACGTTTGGAAGAATTGGAGGAAGAAGCACGGAGAAAAAAGATCGAGGCCGCTGAACTGGAAGCCTCGACCCTCAAACAGGCTGCGCTCGCCGCGGTCCGCGGGGAATCACGGACGGTTCGTACCCCGAATTCGCTCCCTAGCAAAGAAGAACACAAGACGAACCAGGGCTTGAACGATATGAATGCTGTGTTCCCTCAGGAACCAACTCCACGCGCGTCCGCCGACAGTCCATCTGAATTGGATTTGGAAGAACGATTGCGTGTTTTACGAGTGTGTAAACCACGACTATCTACCACCACGGTTGCCTCAAAATCTACCGAGTCGAATGAACCGACCCTGTTACAACCACCACCTCAGGTGAGTTGTTCTAAGTTTGTTCCGATTTGTGTGTAGTTAGGTGTATTTGAATAAAAACATAGATATTGGGTATGAAGAGAAACGTTACCGAAGATACGGTTATTTGTTGGACTTATTGTATGTGGTTCTCAGGTACACCCGAGGGCCCGGGTTCGATCCTCAATCGGGTTGATAATTTCGTTGTGCTAATGAGACTCTCGCAAGTCGAGACAACTGTGCAGTAGTGCTTCCCATCGGTTAGCCTCACGCTCCGTTTCTGTCCGATTTCCCTCGGACCGTGTAACAGGATCTTCCGAGCGGTACGGAACATTATACGATCGCATGTCATTGATCTGGCTGTTCACTCACACAATAACATCATTTCTTCTGTCCAAGGGATGAGGATTGTCGCTGGTTAGAGACACTGAGAGATATGGCCCTGAGTAGAAGTCAGTGGCGCGAATGCTGTACGGTCTGCCTATCGAAATCCCGTGCCTCGTAAAAACCACAAACCACAATAAAATTTCAAAAGGTTTACGGTGAAGCACCCAAAAAAAGTTGTCATTCCAGTTATTCTGCCAGCTACATCTTTGCCCTATACTCTGTACCCCCCCGCTCGTTATTGTTATTGTTAATATTGTTATGGCGTTGGCACCAAGCTTGATCTCAAGCCGGTGCTAAATATATATATATATATATATATATGTACTGATTTTGGTTGCTCAAAAGTACTACTGATTTCTTACCGTTGGGCGTAAAAGTCAATGAACTGTCACCTTTTCTTTCTGTCTTTTGGTAGAGCATGATATGAAATAGAACTTTATCGCCAGCGCTTCATATTCAGGTTAGACGAATTCGTTATAGCTGCTTTACTCAGTATGATCTCTGTCCTCTTTTGGGGCTTTACGGGGTTCACTACTCGAATTCCAAGGGCTGTGATTGCGGTTACTTGGCAGCACATAGGTTGTTATGACTCGGACGTTCACACTTGGGTGTTTGATAGGAAACAATAGAAAGAACTTCGAGATGCTCACAAATTTGGGGATGCAAATAATTTTATGAATGTTACACATATATTTGTTTTTATATACGTATCAATCGGATGATCAAATTTTTCGCGTTATCCGCGTGATGCTGCGGGTCGTGTTTGTTTATCTGCCCCCTTTCCCCTTGTTTTTTTTCCAAAATTCTATCATCTAATTGCCAAGGTGGATCGTACACGTAAACCCAGTGTGCTCTCCAGCAATAGCCCTAATTCACTTGACGTTTTGCCGCAACCCAGGTGAGTTTCCTTTGACCTCGTTCACTCGCTCGCTCGCTCGCTCGCTCGCTCGCACACTCACACACACCCTCACTCCCCCCCACACACACAAATACAGTTTTTGTGCATGTGTGCAGTTGATGCACCTATGGTTTGCTCCATTTGGTCACCCTACGTCTTTATTGCGTACTGGGGTCCTGTTGTCACATTGATGGGGCCAGGGTGATTGATGGTCTCTGATTTACTTTCTCAGTTGTCCGATTCACATCTGATCTCAAAGCATGCCTTCAATTTTTGTACCTTATAGTTCCGTCGAACGTGGACGCGATTCAGGCGAGCGAGTTCCCACAAATGGACTTCCACATTCCGCATCGTCACAGGAAGTACGTTCATTCAGTCTGCAGATGCACGCACACTGTTTCGACGGCTAATGGTTTAAACAATTTTTTCCCTATCCATGAAATTGCTGACTTTCAGTTTCCACAGACCCAGGATATGTTCAATCCTTGAGTCTCTCTTATCCAATTCATAGACACAAATTGGAGGCATATGGCACCAGATACAAGCATTGTATATTAAGTTTTCTCAATCACGTATGGTCGCTTACGATATCATGACCACTAAGGATCATATGGATTTGATTGCTTCTCTTTTTATAGGACAAAGTGAACCCGTGTCAATCTAACAGGTGGCGGAGAGCCTACCGGCATAGTTGACAAACTTGATAATGCGATACTGCGTAAGAGCACACTTGATCGCTTTTTTACCGATTTAATCGTGAGATAAATTTATCATCACTGTCCTCAGTGTGCTATCTGACTTTCCTTTTTAAAAAAATCATACTTAGTCTTTTTTCCGCTTGTGATCGTCAACTTGTCCCCCCCCCCCATGCTCTCATCCNTCCACCATGTTCATCCATCTCCGTACTTCTAGATCAGTTCCCCGTTCGTGCCGATCAATGAAATAGGTCCGGACAGAATTGAGTCCGATGTGACGGGCATGTCCAGACACGGGACCGATCACGCTCCGCTTGGGTCTCGTCTCGGCCAGGCTATGTCAAACGTTGATCTTAGCACTTCGAGTAAGTCCAAATTGATACCGTCGAACCAATAAATGCAGTGTTTTTCAAAACTCACCGCCGTAATTCGTATTTCGTATCAGCCGAGCATAAGCGCTCACAGGTAAAACATTTTGAGTTGTCCCGGGTAATGCATGATAGGCGGTCATTCTCCAAACCCCTCAAGGGAAACTGCATTCATATTTGCTACCAATATTGATTGCTTTTTAAGCCACATCACTGTCCTGTTTGAATTCTGGTTGTCAGCATCGCATAGTGGTGCCGTCCATAGCACGGCTAAGGGAGCGAATTCGCAACTGCATAAAGTTTGTGTGCATTTGTGATATGGCCGCATTTCAATTTACTAAACAGGATCACAGACCCGATTGCAGAACGGTATGGATCAGCTGAACGACCAAGTGAATTCGGAGCCTGAGTTATCGGGCCTACGAGTCTACTTTTTCGATTCCTTACCAAGTTCCGTTACGATGGTGTGTTAGATGGTCAGAAATAGAAAGACAGAAGCATATAGATGATGTTTTTAGTTTCAACAACCATTAAGCATGCATTTCCGTGCGACGCTTTTGGTTGCTGTCTTTTGGATGAACAATAGAAGAAAAACAGGAAGGTCGAAGAGAAAATTGAGAAGTTCAGTGGACCAATGTTGCACAGCAATTGACACGATGCACGAACGCCACTGTTTACAACAGTCAGACATATCTCTCAGTGTCTCTAACCATCGGTTATGATCATCCCGAGGTCCCCGGCCAGGGAGCCTAACAGGACCTATGTGACCCAGTCTCCTGGTTAGGGTGTTTATAACCTCGTGCTAGGTCTTAGCTTGACCATCCTTGTCTTTCATCCACCCACTACCTGCCTCGGCAAACATCGCTCGCCGTGACATGCGTAACACATGCTCCAATCTCATCATTTCTGGTCCGGCTGCCTCCCCAGATTTGTACAATGCTGCATAGACAGCGGTTTTCAAACACCGACAGTCTATCTTTATCCTGTTTTCTCGATGGCCAAGTTTCTGCGCCGTATAACAGAACGGGTCCAACTACTGCAGCATACACTCGACCCTTAATAGCCAGCCGGGTTTCTCGACGGCGCCACAGATGTCTCAAGTTGGCAAATTCCAATCAGGCTTTCTGTAT